GGTTCAAATTTAAAGGAAACTAGAAAAGCACTCAGAGAGCGCAGACCTCCACCAAGGACTACCCCCATTTTTTATATAAATTGCGATAAAATCAGTCTTCTAGATCAAATCTGGATCAGCCTTTGGAATATGAAAGAGGATCCCATTGTCCATCCCTGAATCAAATTTCATGGGGTTTGGTCAATAGTATTCCAGAATCCAGGATTTCTTCCGGATCACCCCCAAAATGAAATCAGTTCTTCCTTTTCACATTTCCAACAAATCCAGAAAATTTCATCAAAATCGGTGGATAAGTTTTTGAGTTATGTTGCTAACAGACAAACAGACAAACAAACAAACAAACAAACAGACAAACGCTGGCAAAAACATAACCTCCTTGGCGGAGGTAATAAAAATGTTTTATGCCATACTGTGGCAGATTGTTAGCCTGATTCATTAGTTGTTAGCCTGATTAGCCGGTTTCACTTCGTGAAAACTGTCTGACCTCGCAGCATTAGGATTCGTTTGCTCAATGGTATTTTTTTATTTATTTAACCAATCGCTGCAGTTTGGTTGTGACGTATGTAATGCGCCAAATCCCATAGGAAGAAGGGCTTTCTCTTTGTTCCGACTTTAAATCCTCAATCTTGGGAATTGTTGCCAAAACAGAATGTACGGCTTCATCTACATCCATCTCGACCGCTTTGTTTACTGTTGTGCTGTACCACAAAAGGGACCCAGACAGGCGCTCCAGTTTGATGTCATGGCTTCACATCTCTTCACGGATTGGTCTACAATTTCCGGGGTTCTTGCAAACCTTCCAGTGTATTCCGATTCCTGACCTAGTCGTTGGAGAAAAATTTAATTGAGCGGAGGTACTAGGTGGCACCAGCCTGGCTAGCAGATTGTAGCCAAAAGAACAACATTTCCATGGAAACAAGCAGGAGGAGGTCCTCCTCCAGGCCAAATCAGGTTTGTTGAGATTCAAGCCCACAGTGTAGGCATAATGATGTACCGTTTGTTTTGATATAAGTTTACGTGCAAGAAACCAAGAAAAAATAAAGCTTTTATTTTAGTCAGTTCTTTGGCCAAAACGTTTTCGTTAAAACATTTAAATAACTGTTACTTATTACCGTCACCTGTCAGGTCACCTGTGTGTTATATGAACTGGGCTCACATCAGGTTTAGTAGTGGAACTGATAAAGCTTGTACACTGTACTTTCTGCTGAATGTTTTCATCAAAATTTTGCTCTTGAAAAAACAAACACATATAATCTGTGACTCATTTTGTGTTCCAAACTAATAGAAATAAAATGTTATTGTTCAACTTTATAGCAAATAAAATCCTCACATAAGGCATTGTTTCCTAATTGCTTCAACAAATCCAGAGTAATCTTGTAAACTAGAGTAAGCAACAAAACTACCAAGAGGTCTATATCACACACACATCTCTCAAAAACTAATATAAAGCCCCATGTCATATTGTCTCACTTTGGCACCACTTAAAAGCACTTGAATGGAGCACATAGGACTCTGAGTAGCAGGTGAGAGACTTCTGGGAACCCTTAGATCATTTGAATTTAGTCCCTAATTGCCTGTAAGTGGAGTTACAGGATTGTACCACGTTTTAGGGAAGTTGCACATAAAGTGTCATTAGCATACACGCCTATAATGTATTAGCAGCAGGTTTGAGACTTGTCGCCATGGCAATTGCCGATGACAAATTTGCAGTTTCAATAAACAAAATGAGTCAATTCCTGGAGCCTTAACCATCATCACAGTTGTGCTTTAGTATAAGAGCAAGTGGCATAAGCACCAGCACCATGCACTCACAGCTCCCAGTCCAAACACAAGGATAAAATATTTGCACCTATGTTGAACTGTGGGATTGAAGGTAGTAAATATATCAAACCAATCAAATATAACAGTTAGGACTGATGAGGGGTCACTATGTATTATGGCTGACACAAATAAAAGAAGAGGAGGGTCAGAATACACTGTGCATCTCTCAGAATCAGCAATAAACAAAATCAACAGTACAACAGCAACACATGATTTGAAGCCAATAGTATAAACAAAAGTGTGCACTATGTTTTCTGGTGCGGGGTCCACCATTTGCTTATCGGGAGATTTTAGTGCTTTGTCTAAAATGTTGCACAGTATCGCATTAAACTCAACAATCTTGCAGTTATTCAGTGACTTTTGTTTTATGCCTAAAAATATCATGGAAAACATGAATTCTTACTGTGAGCGGGGTCTCCTCTCCACAGATCTGACCTGTTACTCGGCCTTGTAATGTCGCTTACTCTTCTCAATGGATGTGGACAAGTTTATGTCATACTGTGGAACATTTTAGGCAAAGCAATAAAGATCTCCATGGAGACAAGCAGATGGTAGAACATCTACCAGAAAAAGTACACAGTGCAGTTAAAGCATATTGTGTACAGTGCTTCTACTGATCCTCACCACTGAAAAACTGTCAAGTGACATTTGACTACATGATTTTTTGAATAACTACAAGAAAGTACAGAGCAGTGGATAGGATTAACACAGGACTCAAACATGCAACTCTGACTAAGCTAATGATGAGGGAATACTAACATCTCAAAAAGTCAATTTTACAAAATATGTCCCAAGACTTTCACCTCATAACCAAGTAAGAATCCAAATAATTATCTTTTCATCCTCAAGGGCATTTTTACAGACATGCGTTTAGGAAGTAGGATTCCCAGAATAAAAACTAAAATCAGCAAGTATTCAGTATGATTCAGTTGCTACTTTAGTATGGCATACTATTGTCCTAGTGCAAGACACATCACCACAATCTCTGTATAATGAAAATTTCTATATAAATGATATATAAGGCCTATTCTTAACATGTCAACAACAGTCAAGACACTCAATAGCCCTGTACAAATACATTACATTTCTGCTCTGTCTAGTTTGTCTTTAAGTGAGAGAAGTGAAATGTTTATTCGCTAAGCTACCTGCGCCACACGTCTGTATCCACTGAGAATGAGTCATCTCCAGGGTCCATATACAGCAGCAGCACAGCACTGAGGTGGGCTCTGACATGAACATGGCTAAACAACATCTCTGCTGAAGCATCACAACCAATCATTTCCTTTCACATTGTTCACTACTGGAGACATTACCTGTTAAACTGTAAATCTCACCCCACTCGCCCACCCCACGCCCAGGAGTCCCATTACACAATACGCCTGTGCACTAGTCCCACCAGAATGTCATAGTCACTTATGTAATATATGTAGATCTATACATATATATATATATATATATATATATATATATATATGTAGATTTTATAATGTGTTCATGTCATCCTTCCAGGTAGGGGGCAAAAGAAAATTTTCCCCACTGACTACATCATATTTTCTCATGAAATATCTGAAAGGAAAATGTACAAATGTTGTCTCTGATAATTTCCATTTGTAACTAGATCCAAGAACTTACTTTACCGCAATATCTGAATTTTCACAATATTAATTTTACCTGGCCCTAATTTGAATTAATGTTATTGGTTTGGTCCTTGGGTGGTCCTGGTGTGGTCCTGGTGTGGACCTGGTTTGGCCTTTGGTTTGGTCCTGATTTGGACCTTGGTTTGGCCCTGGTTTAAGGGCAGTTTAGCTGTGATGATGCGCACTTGGTTTGGGCCTGATCTAGTTCTGGTTTAGGGTGGTGCAGTGTTTTGCACAAGGACAAACAACAGCATGCTTTGGTGAATCTGGAATCAAACTACAAACTTTTAGGTTTCAATCAGGACAAAATAATATTGCTAATTTATGCCTTATTTCAATCTTAATGTTTTGCTGTGGATGTTGTGCCTGGTGGTTTATGTATTAAATAAAAATTATTTGTTGAAAGTAAAAAATACTGTGGCCTGAATTAGCTGGTTGAATTGAGATCGTTTAAGAGCAAACACTCAACTAAAGCACAGATATATGTTGTTACTAAACTTTTGACAATAAGACAAACTGAATACTAAAACTTTAAATAAAGTGTAGTTTTTTGTTGGTATTGTGGTTAAACTGGCAACATTTTCTATTTAGATAACTGTATACTATATGAACTTACTACACATTGACCAGCTATAACATTATGACCATTGAAATCTCTGCTTCTTCTTGGTGGCAGCTTTGAGTGGGCGTGGTGTGCCAAGTGCAAAGTGAACATTTTGTCCTCAAAGTGGATGTGTAAAAACCAGGACAATAGGCAAATGAATGGATTTGAGCAAATTTGATTGTGCTGAACCAATCTATCTTATTTACGTTTTTGTCTGCCTTTGGCTAAATCCTGGTTAGTACTTAAGTGATGGTCTAGTCCCATTTTAGGTTTGGTTGAGTCCTGTTGCAGACCCAGTTTAAAGAAGGTGGCACTAGAAAATATATATATTTTTATATATTTGGCACTTGGTGTGAAAAGTTTAGGAACAACTGGGTCAAAGTATTTCTAAAACTGCAGCTCTTGGGAAGTGTCCCTGGCCTGCAATATTAAACCAGTGTTGATAATGAACACTATGTGGTCAAAAGATGAGCCAAAGTTGCCAATACAGGGTGTAAAGAAATCAAAATACAAACCAAAAAAGCAGAGGTGGTCATACTGATATGCCTGATCTGATTGGAGTGAAGTTTGTTGAACCGCAGAGCTTGTGTTCCCACCATAATATTTGCCTGTGGAGTCAAATGTAGAGGAAGAGCCTAATCCGGGGAAACGCAGAGTGGTAATAAACATGACTGAGATTGTGTAAGCTATTAACATGCAAAAAAATGTTATAAAATCAACTTATTGTACAGGATATTTTCATTTTTATTGACTGGTATACACATTGTCTCTGGGTGAAAGTTTAAACAATGAATAGTTGGGTATAATTTACTGAAAATAACCAAGCAGACATTTTCTGTTCAAATTGCAAATACAAATTTGAAGAAAAACAGCACAGTATTTGCATAGAAACCAGATCTGCTTTAGCATAACCCTAACCCTAAGTGTTTAGGACCTACCTTTTCTGGAAATCTTTCCCAAAGTTTCTGCACCAGTCGTCAATATTGTGTAATCCCTTTAGTTTCCCGTCCAAAGTGTCAGACTCCGATGGACTGGGAGTAAACAAGAATCCTGCTTTACATGCCAAATCCAGAGTGCGTGCCAGGAATTTCCATAAACCCCATTTAAATATTTGCATTTGGCATCACGGGACAGAGCAATGAGTGAATGTAGCCACACTCTTCACCTTTGATACAATAAAATGTACAATCTGGACTAAATTATATTGCTAATTTATTGCTATTATTGTATTATTTCCTATTATTTCAATTTATGTTTTGCTACGGATGGTATGCCAAGTTGTATATTTATTAAATATGAATAATTTGTTGAATATGGAGCACATCCCCACCCCCTACCATGCTTGAGTTGCTGTTTTAAACAAATTAAAATGTAGTTAGCACCATGTAGTGATTTATAAAGCCTAATATGGAATTCTTTTTAAATTGTTGTCTCATTTTGAACACACTGTGGTTGCCATTTATAGCTGAGATTGGATGTGCTATGGAAGTGGGGCAAAAATGTTTGGGGGTGCATTAGCCATTCTAGAGGAGGCTAGTGAGTCCCCCCTGGTGCCGCCCCTGTCACTATGGTCTGAGTTGGTTAGCTGGTTGAATTGAGAAAAAATCTAACATTCCAAAAATTACCTTTCCAAGATTCACATTTTATTGTTTATATTATGTTCAAAAGTTACACAATTTAATATATACTGTCACGTGGTTTTACTGAACACTAATATTATGTTTTTTGGTTTTTTTTGTTTGTTTGTTTTTTTACTATTTTAAATCAGTTTGAGCAGAAATAAAAGGCAGTCCTAAGCCATGATAAAAGAAAGGTTGCAACAAGGAGGGCATCTGACATGAAACCAAAGCGGCTTGGATATATTACTGTGTCAGACAAAATCATTTTATGGCAATCCGGGAACAGCAAAAACAAAATGAAAGAGAACTTATTTATAAATTGATTTAAATTTTTTTTTAAATATTCATGGATTACAGCTTCTTGTTATATGTAACATTTTGAAGACTTTTTTCCATCCTTAAGATTTTGTTTTACATTGTTCATCGCTATAACAGTCCTAAATGTTCACCCTTAGACTAAACTTGACTTTATTGTGATGACATTTTCCCAAATCATGCATAGAATTACACAACAAACATCTTAATATGAAAATGACAGATCAGAGCATGGATATGGGGAGGCTATGACAGTGGTCCTTTAAATAAACCTACATTCACTGGGGAGACATATAGCAGCACAGAGACTTCAGGAGAGGGGTAAAACAAAGCATGATTAGTGGAGAGAGGACAGCACTTCATGAGTTATTCCTCTCTGACATATTGGTCGGAGATATCAGGTCATCTCATTAGACGGGGGACAAAAAGTTCACAGCTGTGACGTGCCACCTCGTGGGAGTCAAGAACATTGTAGGAGGATCACATGCTTATTTTTGAACAAGACAGCCTTCTTTTAAATACAAGAGAATGGTCTTAAAATGTTTGCAGCTCAAAACTTGAAATTTGTTGATGCCTGGATACCTGTAACCAGTAAAACCTTAAGTTTCTTAAAAATATTTAAAAAATGTGAAGTGCCTATAATTAAAATACCCAAGCAGTGCAAACAGCAGTGTTGATGTAGCAGGAGTTCCTGTTTGTCAGTGTCTAGTAACATAATACTATGGTTCATTAAAAGTGTTCTGACTGAAATGCCATTGAAGGTACTGTGATCTCAGTCACAAAACACAAAAATAGAGTTGTCAACTTTGTGACGCATTTTTAAAAAAAGACTTTTTTTTTTTTTTCTTTACAAACAATCACAACACAAGCTCGTACTCGCTCTCTCATAAAACAATGGGTCCGGAATGATCTGAAATTCTACCTGCAGTTGCTAAGCAACACCCACCTCCAACCTCTCGGCCTGCCCCATTGGTCAGTGGGAAAAACGCACGCACCGCCCTATTGGCTCACAAAAAGTTAATAAACTTTAGCCACGGCCTGCCTCTGTGCCCGCTCCCTCTCGACGCTCACACAATGAAGAGATTCTTGTGAATGAGAGCAGAGGTGTTGGTGCCTGCGCAGTACAGTGCTGATATATGCATTGAGCCCTGAGCTAAAAATAAAGATCACACTGAACGCGGTGGCACTGAAAACTGCAGGACTAAATTCAAAGTGACAAGTCTAGTCCTCTTAGACACGGCAATGAGGTCCCACCCTCAGCGCAGCAGGGGGCTGGTTTTTGTGATGTGCACATTTCTAATAAAAGCTGCGACTCTTTACATCTGAGCCAGCTAAAAATGCAACACAGGGAAGCCTGAAATATTTTGGAAACACAACTCAAAAGTGGAAAAGCATCAACTATAAAGACTTCAGTAAAGTTTGGAGCTGTTGGGAGCGCGCCTCACTCTGGGTACTAAATGTTTATTGTAGTAAAAAGCTCTCACTAAGTAAACTGCGTAGGCAGAGCATCAATAACTCTCAAAGACACAGTGTGTTGTCTTGATGTGGACTTGGTGACAAAGTTATTTTTGCGAGTTTTGCGGCGAGTCACTCTTGGGTCACTTCAATTTTTTGAGCCTTTGTATTTTCACCTTTCCTGAGTCAGAGCCGTGTCACTTACTGTGGGAACAGCCTGTAACTCAAACGTCATTTAGGCCCATTCACACTCCACACACACAAAACATACTCCATTTAAAAGAAAATAAAGTTAGTTAGAAATGATTCAGGATCATACATGCCACTTTATTGTTGTTCCGTTTTAACTCCTCAACAAAATAACTGAATACAATCTGCTCAAAACAGAGCAGTTTTTTCTTGACATTGTGATATTTTATTGAGTCCATCAATGTCATTAGCTGCCCAGAGAATCAGCAGAGAAACAAGAACCACAGGACCTCTTAGTAAAAGTACGAGGCTACATTTAAAATCAAATTAAATCTATATTAAAGGTGCACTATGCATCTTTTCAGGTGGCCTCCTGCTTGACATGTTAGCGCTTTGCCAGAAACTTTCCCAGTATGGCATTAAACTTACCTTGCATTTATTGCTCAGAAAAACATGTACCGTTACTGTGAGCAGGGTCACTTCTCCACAGATCTGACCTGTAACTTAGCATGAATCCACACCTGTCTGTCTCCATGGAAGTAGATATGTATGGAACATTCCAGGTATAACATCTCCACTGAAACAAGCAGGTGGCAGACCAGTCCCTAAAAAAAGCTTACGTAGTGTACCTTTAAGAGACATCCCTAAACAAAACCACAATAATCTAATTACAAATCTATAAAATCTTTATTTAAACGTCAGGTAAAAGGCAGTGGTTTGTGGCTTCTTCATATTAGTCCATATTGTTGTATTGTTGAGGGCTACACTATTATCTGTGTGTAATTTATATGTTACAAAGGACGGTGATGAGATGAGGGTTAATAGTGATTTTTGATCTGTCCGCTCACATCCGCTTGGCCACTTGCTTAAACTTTTGTGTAGTTTTATAGAAAATGGATCTGGGTTTGTGAGGCTCCAGGAGGTTGAGGTTGCCTTCTGAGATGCTCCTGACGACTCTCTGGGGCTTGTTCTCCTCTGAACCTGAGGGCACAGAGCAAACAGAGTCAAGAATAAACATGAGACAAAGGAGAGAAAATAGCTCCACACATTGTTGAAGCTCTGACGTCAAGGCCTGGTTTACACTTCAACTTAAGACTAGCTCCTCTTCTGTGCAGCCATCAGGAATAACATTGCATCACCCCCCCAGCAAACATTGTAAACTAGTGGGATTGTAGATGTAAGCAATAAAGAGAAATCGTTTTGAAGAGATCTAAAATATTAATATTCTATACAAGTATATTTTAATGTGGTTTTTTTTAGTGTTTTTAATGCAAAAGAGACAATTAAAACTAAAGAAAAATGTGCTCTTAGAAGGATTGTCATGATACCAAATTCTGAAGTTCGATATATTGCTGATGTAAATGATGACGATAAACGATAATTCTGAAGCTAATTTATCACTGACTCAAAAACCCAAGAGCAGATTTAGATCAAAGTCTAGTTTTCCATACTGTTAAAAAACAAACAAAAACAAAACATGAGCTTTAATAAATAGAATGAAACACATTTGTACTTACTTTAGCACAGAATTTATTCAATTCAACCTTCTGCTGCCAAAATGTTGTAGTATAACCAAAAATGTACACTCTATAAATACTGACCTCCCAAAAATTATTGTTTCATTTAACATATATTAAACAAAAAGTTCATATAGTATGTATTATGACAGGCCTAGTTGTCAGGGATCTAAAAAAAAAAAAAAAAAAATAGTTAGAGATTTTCTGATAGTTTACATGAAAACTGAGAAGTAACATAAAAAAGAAAAAAAAAGGGAAGGACAGCCGCCTTAAGCAAACAAATCTGTCTACATGAGAGAATCTGATGTACTTATGAAGATAAATTGACTAGAACATCAAAATGGATCTCTTCAAACATGTTCTGAAATGCATGGTATTTTAGTATTTGTTTAGCAGTTCACATAACAGTACAAATGTGAATGCTCCTGGAACATGTTTAAAAACGTGCACTGTGAACTAAATCAGAATATAAAAATAGCAAACTATTCAAAATTTTGCCAGAAAAATTACAATTCTTTTTTTTTTCTAGAATAATAGTTCAATCCTAGCTTCTGCTGAATCAAAATACAAAGCCCCCCCTCACTTCCTAATTGAAGACCTACTGACCACTGCAGACCAGAAAACCCGACAGGAGCTGAGGTTTTGGTAAAACTTACTTAAATCCATTCATTACTGTTTCCATATTGGGGTTAATGGAGTGACTATTCATCGTAATGCTATACTAGTGTGAACCCATAATGTAGAAAATGTCGTGCAAAACTAAAACGGTAAAAGCGTCACTCACTCACCGCCTGTCCGATTTACTCTGAGAGGTTTGCGCGTCACGGAGGGGTCTTTCTTGATACGTTTTGCTGCAGACATCCCCTGTGTGTCCTCTTTTATCACACTAAATAATAAAAGACAAAAATATACTTTAAACCCAACACAAAACATACTAATAAAGTAAAAAAAAAAAAAAAAAGGAATAAAACAGGACATTACTGGTTAAACTTGCGTTTTCCTTGTGCGGAGGACGTCATCTCCATGTACTTAGGCTTGGTCCGTCTGGTTTCTTGTAATGACAGGATTGGTGGTCTAAAAGGAAGACTGACATTAAGAATTGGCTAAAATACTTGTGTGGTAGAGCAGCTGTTTTATGTTATATCTGGAAAGTTGTGAGTTTCTTTTCATGGGTTTCAGCACGCTACATTTTGAGAACAAATTTTTGATAATTCTCTAAGCTGTGCATCATATTCAGCAACACATGTGTCATCTTAAGAACTTTTACCATTCAAGACATTTTATTTGAGATAGTTAATAGCTATGCCCGCAGTCCCACTTTTCCATGAAATGAAATCCATGGATATAAAAACAATCAATACAACTTTGTAACTTAACCTGTACATCTGAAAACCATTATTGTAGATATACATTTAAGATCTGTGCTGTTTGAATCACAACTATTCATTGATCAGCGTTATTTAAAGGAAGAATAGCGTTCACTGATGATTTGACCCTGGGCATGTGCTGTGGAGCAGGAGCAGACTGTAATCCCACAAATCCAGTGCCTGTGTGTCAGTGGCCCGGCGCCTCCACTGGGATGATTTGATATGAAAAATACATTGTTGCATCACAAACACTGATACTGTTGGCTTTTGTTGTGTCGTCTGCTGCACCAGGATGCGGCTCAGCTCTCTTAAGCCTCTTGGTCTAATGTTCCAGTTATTTTCCCTTTTGTCTGGATCGAATAAGGTTTTAGGGATTAAGCCCCTTCGAATGGTTTAGGCAGACTGCACTTCTTATACAATCTTTACATTATATATGATATATATATATGAATATGATATTTAATAATGATAATATTATAATTATTTAAGTGGATTATGTGCAGATTTGAACACATTACTAACCTTTTGTTGGGGTTGGCCTTTGCAGGTGGCAGAGGTTGGATTCGACCACAGAGGGGTGCAGATTTTAACTCCAGCGTTGGACTGCTGCTGTGACCCAGGATGATGGTTGCATTGGTTTGATCTTCTTGTTCTACGACCTCAAAAGTGGCGTTGGGGTCTAAGCTGGCGCCCTGGACAGCTCTCTGACTGTGCTCGGGGGTCCGCTGCAGAAGGACAACCCCATCCTCACTCATAGGAAGCAGGGCAGGGGACCTGGGACCCTGGGGGGCCATAGACGCAGACAGGTTTCTCCTGGTGGGAGCTTTGAGAGGGACAACCTGCTTGGAGTCTGTCTGATGTTCATGTCCTAAAAAAGAGGGTTAAAAATGTGATAAAAGTTGCATGTAATTATCGAATTGGAATCTATGTATCTCTTTTGCAAATATGTTTTAGAAAATGTGAATAGTGTTTGGAAGTGCTGCAAGCTACTTTGTGATCAAATCTTTGTTGATAGAATAAAACAACTGTCTTTATCTCAACTATGGCGTCACGGCTCGAGGTTAACAAGAGACTCAGAAGGTCGCTCACGTTGAATTGTCTTTAACCATTTCTTACAGAGATTCTACCAAAGGCTGTTACTTCAACAAATTCAATGCATATTCAGTTGTATTCACTTTTGAAATCCACATTTCAAAACAATTCAAAAAGAGTAGTACTGAAAATTAAAATGGCCAAAAGTTATGCTCAGAAAAATGCGGTAATGATGCTGAACAAACAACCTTCAACACAGCCATTTAAAAAATGTCAACTTGAACTCGAGTCAACTTCAACTTGAAGTTGTTCTTGTCATTAGAAGTAGTGGAAAATATTTGGATGAAGATTTTATTAAAGCCACAGAATTCAACTAGCCAAAAAACAAGACTAAACTGACTTTTTCATGTTTATTGCAATGAAAACAGTGTTTCCTTACTCTGAGGGGCTTGCATCTCCACAAACTTTCTGGAGTAGGACCTGCTTGTTTCCATGGACATGTTCCTTTGTCTATAATCTTTTTATTCCCATGGCATCATGCAGGATTATTATTACATTTTTAAATTACAAGCAACTTAGTTTAATAAGAACTATAATAATAATAACAATAATAATAATACAAGAATTTGTTTTTCTTTCCTTTTCAGATTAAATACTATTAAACAGCTTGTCATTCTGTTACAGTATTAGGGCAGTGGGAGAATTTCTGGGTACTGTGCCTTTAAATGCGAACCATTTTTTTGATGTCTTCTGCAGTTCTTTCACACCGGCCCATTCACAAAAACACCATTCTCTACAAAGCATCTGTGTACAGGTTGCGGTGCATAATGGGGTCAATATGTTTGGTCCATGTCTGCATCACATTATGAAAGCCATTATAGTCATGGCATTTCCTGCAGAGGTGCTGTGAGTGTGTGATGGGGAGAGAGGAGAGCCAGGACAAATGCCAGAACAGTAAATGCAAATGAAAAAGACTGATCCCCTACTCTTCCCTAAATATCAGAAAGCAATTTTTAGCTGAAAGTGAGTCAGACTCGAGACGGGAAGGTGAGGAGACAAAGATGAATCGTCTCTTTCTGCGGTGCTGTAGAGTTTTCCTTAGCAATAAATGGCAGCCGCGTTCTTTCAATCACATATTTTTGGCTTGTAGGGGATTAATACATGCATGAGTTGCTATTTCTGGTGTAGGCTGCACTGAATCAGGGTCGCCTGGTTGCCGCTGCCTGTTTTTTATAGTGCGCCTTTTCTGGTTGGTGGATCAGGGGAGTTTACGTGTGTTGACGTTTTTCCCCTGCCCTGCTGTGGATCTGCATTTTCATGAATGGAGCTCAAGAGGGATTGGGAGGGTTAGGCTTCGAGACAGAGAAAAAACAGTGCAGAGTAGGTGGGAACAAAAGGTATAGGACAGAGGAGATGAACAGACATCTGAGGGATTAAGAAAAGGTAATAATAGAGGATGGAAAAAGTGAAGGGTGAAATGATAAGATGTGATACAGAAAAGGTGTTAATGATGAATAAAGATAATGACAATATTTATTATTATTATTATTATAAAAAGGGCCAAAAGAGCATGGTCACTCTAGCACTAAATGTTAAACTGCATGTTTACAAAAGCGTAAACATGTTCATTGTTTGGTTATTGCTGGAGAACCCAGCAGTGTAAGAGTTAATACGCTTTCAAATCCCCGGCCCTCTCTCAAACAGATCAGATTTGATTGGTTTAGCGGGCTGCAGGGTGGAGCCTTTTCTCATAACATGCTGCAGTGACGAGCATTAAGAGCCCAGGAGGCAGTAAGGGAGTGACAAACCGACGCGGATCAGATTAGAGCAGTCGCTTAAATAACAGCAGCGGTGTCTGTGAAAACATTTGTCATTTAGCTCTGCACCAGTGTTCACCCGAATGTGTGCAGGAGGGGCAGATGCAGAGGGAGGGCGGGGCAAAACAAGTTCCTGTTATTATTAGGTCCTTCAACCCCACCACAGTTATGATTCTGCATTCTGATCTGTTTATTTAGTGCAATAACCCTACACCTGACACTCTACACAGTGTCAATCACAATGGTCACTTTAACCATGAACTTCCACCACAGTTGTGTAAATATATTATAATTTTGATTTATTTTGCACTATGTGACTATGGTGCTGGAGACTTTAGTTGCTCGCCTCCGTGGAGATGTTATTGCTTTGATTAGAATATTCCACAGTATGGCATTATAAACTGATCTCCATCGCCATGGAGACAAGAAGGTGACGCTGGGCCTGTTGTGATAACTGACTTATCGGTCAAAGCTGGAACAATATATTTTGGTAGTCAAAATGTATTGTGCATACAATTTCAAAATTGAGAGATTGAGCTGTAGAGGGTTGAAAAACTAACTTCTGTGGCTAATAATTGCTTCATTCTGCTATTTATTTCTTGCAGCTTATGACATTTAATGACTATCTATTTAAAAATGGTTTAAAAGGATTATCTTGCATTATTGTTATTTTATCGGTGGCATAGTAGTTTCAATATTATCTTTCATCTCAGTATATCCTTGTAGCATCATGCTTCAAAATGTGTCATCGTAACAGGCCTAAGTTACGCGACCAGGTAAAGTTACAAGTCAGATATGTGGATAGAAGATTCTGTTCACAGTAAAACAAGTAAAACACCTGTAATGAAAACAATGCTTAATAGATGAGTTTAATGACATACTGTGTATCATTCCACAAAGTTCCATAGAGACAAACAGCTAGCAGAAACCCCCACCTAAAACGTTACATAGCACACTTTTAAAATGGTTATTTCTTGTATAGATTCTTACACCCATCTTGATTACACATTATTGTGTTATAAGAGCTACCTTGACAAGTGACTTTCTCCATTGCGAGATCAATAATGTTCTTTGTATGCACTGTCTTATGAGATGCAATAAGCGCTGCATTTACTGCCACTGTTACATATTGATTGATAGGAACCGATATCGCAAAAGAAACGCCTCCTCCATGCATGTGCAGATTATTCAAGATGGCTGATTACTATTTAATTACAGTGTCATTATACTCCATAATTAATAACAAGCATTATTGTGAGTAAACATGACACTATTAGTTGCGAATAGGGCTTCAGATAAAGCAGCAGTCAGTCATTTTGTAATAGGACAAATATGTACTACAATGTTTGTCAATTTCTGTAATTCGTTTGAGAAAGTGCATTTCCAGTGTGTTATTTGTGCTGATCTCCAAGACATTAGTGAGACTGGGCCAATTTATGACCAGCATTTTTTCCCAGAACGTCAACATATTTCAGGCCAAATGGTTTACAAAACAATCCACAGTTTAACAGGCCATGAAAATATACTCCCCATTTGCGACTAATTTACTCAATTACAAGCATATAAACACTTGTAGAGGAGCTGGCATCGCTCCTTCTGTTGTGAGTGAACCAAAAACTGGAAGAGGGAAAGATCCTTCTCAACGTGTACTTGTACATGAATTTTAACAATAGCTACACCTCTTCATAATTTTTATTTGATTTATTCACTAATCACTTGGCATAGGCCTTTCCCCCCACAATATGGCAACAATATGTTTCCCACAATATGTTTCAAACTTTCAGTAGATGTAGACCACCTGCATTAAATGTCATTACACCCAATTTGCAGAGCAGTATTTCACGGGCTTTTCTGTGTCCCACCTCCCTGAAGGCCCCTCTCCACTTTCTCTTCAATAAAACTGGCTGTGAACATTCACATCATTTCATTATTCAGCTTTGGCCAGGACAAACGTCTGCAATACTGCTATAAATCACAGTATATTAAATGTGTCATTTTTATAGTACATTTTACTGGTCTCAATAAGTCTGCCTCACTAAAAGTTAAAAACAAGATCTTGTAATAAAGAAGTGTACACAAGTCATATTTACATGCAATGGGTAATTACTGTAGTATTGTGTTTTTAATGACCATGACGGAGTCTTGTAAAATGTCTGGTTTATTAATTGTGATGGATAGAGTGCAGGGTGACACATACATGAACGTGTGACTGAGGTTTATGGGGCTTTACGTGAATGAGCACAGCATGTTAGTGTAAGTGGGAGGGGGGTTTACCTTTTGGTGAGGAAGAGCCTTGACACAATGAGGGTCGCTTTGAACGGGACTCCGAACCTACACAAACAAGATTCAAGCAATGAAAAATCTCCTATATGGTAAATGTTTACAAGAAATGTTACTTTTACAATATTAGAATTGTGAGTGAAAGTTTGTGCTTGTTTAGTATATCAATGTGAGTGGCTCATCTATTATACTGTTACAGTGTTACTGGAAGTTTGAATAGAGTAGTTCAGTCCTACTATACTTTTAATTACATTGTTTAACTGAATGTACACCCACACAGCAAACACCATAATGCAGCAATAACAGCAGTTATAAAATTGTAAATTACACAAATCACTGGGGATCAAATTTGTCCAACAATCAGACCAGCTTAAACCCAATGATTTAAGCACTGTTTGAAGCCTGTGCACAGGAGGCGGGCTCGACCTCCTCAGCTGAGGACCAGTGGGTTCTGGTGGGGGCAATGGGGGCGGAGGGGTAGATGTAGTTTGGAGTGATAAATGATAGACAGACTGGAGTAATAGAGTGGTGTTGGTGTGTTTTGGTGCCTCTCTGCTGTCTGTCATGTCTGTGTGTCAGTTGGGAGCTGCTGCTGCTGCTGGGTCATGTGGGGATGACAGTTAAGAATGATCAGATCGTCACACGGTCCCACTGCAAACACTGGACCTGGACCAGAGCCAAACGCACTGGTCCATGCGGGACACCTGACACAAGCCTGACAAGAGTACACAACAAAGAAAAATATGCTCATGTGCTCACAGGGCATTTTGTACACGAAACTGTTCCACAGAATTATTTATCTGACATTTCATAAAAAACTACATTAAACTTAGATTTAGCCAGTCTCTACCTAATCCAGTAAATCCGTTATTAGTATTAGTTTGCACATTATTATTATTATTATTATTGTTAATAATAATAATGATTATGATCATAATAAAAAATGTGGATATAACGTGCATGCATAAGCAGTGCAACATTTCTACCTTAAAAAAAGCTACTAGCCATTGCTTTGTGTTCCACATGACTATGGAAATTGAATACAAAATACATAAATTGAAAGGGCAACAAGTACTTGACCATGTTTCTGTGCCATGTGCACTTTCCTGTGTACAAATACATGTTAGTTGAGCAAACAGCCAGTAGTCAACCTTTGCCAAGTAACTGTGAATCACACCTATAACATAACCTGCTCCTGGGGCTGTTGGCTGTTTATTTTCCTTCCCATTGGTTCAACTTTAATTCATTCACTGTGAAGCCTCTCACTGGGAGATCAGTGCTGTAACAGGCTCTTCAGCGAGTTAATTAAAGGGGAAGGGTGATTTATATCTTATTATTGGGTAAATTGCTTTGCAATATATTGCCATCTTGTCTATATTTTACATTTAGCACAGAGAAGATTGAAATTGTTTCTCTAAATGGTTCCTTAATTAAATAAAGCTGTTTCTATTCTATTCAGTTAGTACTGCTGTGAAGAGCACCAATTAAATAAAATCTAAATAGTGTTTCAGTGTAATGTTAAGGGTCAGGCACCACTGTACATCATTACAATCACATTAAACTGAAAATAACTATAATTGTTTACATTCACAAACTTACTACAAGGGCTGCTCTGGTGGTAGTGCAGGTGTGAGAAAGACAGGAATGGGGCCAGTTCACTGTCGAGACCAACAGCCTCAGTTTCATTCCTGTCTTTTGACTCCGTACCATTTCCTTCGAGTTTCAGTGTTAGTTCCGCCCCCTCCTGGTCCGCCCAAACCACACCTCTCTCTCGAAGAACCAAATGCTCCAACTCTGCTGTCTCCTCGTGGTCTGTTTTTGTGCTTAATCCAGCCTTACATAAAGATGAGTGGTGGCGGCTATAGGCGGGCAGGAGAATGTTCATCATTCTAAAAGAGCAAAACAGATATTTCAATAAGCCAGATTCAGGAAGGCTAGTTTGTCTAAAACTTCTCAGTTCAAATAGTTTACACTTTGCAAAGAAAATTGTAAATAAAAATCTGAATAAAAATTTGTGTTCATGATATACAGTATAGCATGTTTATCCAGCATTTTTAAAAGGGCCTATATTACACAAAATTTACTCTTTTGAGCTGTTGTTGTTACCTCACTAAAAACGTACCTGAAGTTGTGTTTTATTTCAGTCACACATTTGATTAATCCTTTATTCTGTCTATTTTTCTAAAGCTCAAAATGCTCTGTTCCACCTTGTGAGTTCAAAAAACAATAGTTTTCAAGTTAACAGCTACTTTTACCTTTAGTAGAGAGCAATTTCAAGGGCTGAGATTATCCAAATACTTCTAGCGAAGGTGTATGGAATTTAAAAACACAGTGGAGCACTTCCTGTATTATCACATGACATCACAAGGTGGAACAAAGGGTTTTTTGTCTGAGAGAAGAGTTCAATCTAAACATGCAGGGTTTGGGTGAAGGAACATGTGTGAAGGAAACAAAACACAACTCCAGGTATGTTTTTGATGAGGAAACAACATTATAACACTGATCAGAAAATAGTGTAGTATTGGTCCTTTATATAGCCATGTAGAGCCACATTAATACAAACATAAAACACACTGATATAACCAACTGGCTTGATCAGATGGTTGTTTTGGTGTTTGGTGTTCATGACCTACTTCTGCATCCTCTTGTTCTCCTGGTCCTGCAGTGCTGTGAGCTCCACCATCTGCTTGATGTGTTGTTTCAGATCGTTCACCTGCAACTCCAGTCTGTGGCAGTGCAGCTCCTTCTCCAGCACCTGCACAAAGGTCAACACAAAAAGTCACTCGTGCATACGTCAAATTGGCTGTGAGTTATGCCCTGGACCCGGTCGGTAGGGAGCGTGGAGTACGGCGAGGGTGAATATGCACTTTTCATGTAAGGTTTGTAGCTGAACGATTGTCAGAAAGAGGGGGAAAGGCAATCTGACGTAAGAGAACTACGAAACAACAGCGTGGAGAACATTTGACTAGGAGGTGCGTCATAGTTCTGGGCCTGTTCCTGGAAAAAGAGTAAAGAAGAAAAAATAACATGGACAGGGTTTTAGGTAACTGGCTCCTGTGTGAAGGATGAGTAAAGGCTATTGATTTATTCTCTTCAGTGATCTACGAGTGAGCTGGAGAAATAAAATGAGCACGGCTCTAATTACTGGGGGAACAGATGGGAAGAAAACAAAGACAGTCACGACACCAGTGAGACACAGCCTACCTTCCAAAATAAACAAACAAAAAACAACAAGTGTTGAGTTTTGAAGGCTCGAGCGCACATTGTAAAGTTTTAGTCTATATCTAATTAAGCAGCCTGGACTCGTTAGAGTGAGTCAACAGGTTAGATCACTCTCCGCTTGTGTAATTAAGCACACTGCCATCAAGTGTTGTGAGCAGGACAGGGATTTTGTTGACAAATTAGTTTTAAATAGTCAAGAGCTACATGCCCACTGCTAGTCATTTAAGTATTCATAAACTGTTGAAAGGGTTTTTACAAAGGATTGCATCACGGCCCAGGTTGCACTCACCTCAAAGATCTGATTATTCGTCTTTAACAACTTCATTTCATTTTCAACACGGTGCAGGCAGCCGTCATTGTCCAAGAAGCGAGTTTTTGCCTCTTTCAAGCGTTTGCAAATGTGCTGCTGCTGGGTGCGTAAGCTGGCAATCTTGCGCTCAAACTTACAAGTGGCCTGTGAGAGAGAAATGAAGGAGTTTAAAGCAACTACAAACTCGTAACAACTTGATGTAAAAACACACACGGCTCTAGTGAATTCACTGTTCATTTTGTTGAAGCCATAAGCAGTGTGTTAAATGGTGGTATTTATGCACATCTCAAGAAAGTGCTAGAGGAGGCCCAAGAGTGTTATGATTCAGCCTTAAATTTTTTTTGTTTTTCGACAACATATTTTGTAGCATTTATGGTGGACTCTCAAATAGCAGAGCATATTCTCACAAAGGTATCAATGACCTTGTGCACAGGGGGCATGAATGAGAGTTTTAGTCACTTTGTGGAAGTTAAAATGATGATCCAGCAGCAGGATACTGCTGGGATGTTGGCCTCGGTGGAAAGCAGAGTAAGCAGTGCATACCTTCTCTGTCTTTTCTTTGGCACAGAAGTACTGGACCTGCAGTTGGTCCTCCTCACAGAAGCGCTGCCGGAGCTCGTTCTCCTTCAGCTGCCTCTCCAGCTCCAGCTGCTCCTGCCTGATCAGAGCCCGACTCGAGAAGATTGTCTGCAGAGCCTCGGACACCCTGCACACAACAACTGCACTCAGACTCAAACTTCAAGAGATGGCAGTGCTTAGACTTTAATGTGGATCAATGTGATAAACTTTATTATTGATCCCAGAGGCAGAATGAAGAGGAGCATAACAGCCCCCATTTCAATGATCTGCAATTACTGCATAAATACTGTAACTTTGGTCACTTGTATTTAATTTCACTGCAAATAAAGTGTCTTGTTGGTGCAATAACAGTCTTGCACACTTTTTTTTCTTCTTTTTAAAAACATGCAGTTTGTTTCCATAAAATCTAATAATGATAACAGTCCATTTTAGATATTATATCTCACAGAAAACATCAGTAGCAATGTTCTGCTTACTAGTGCATAAAAATGTACTCTGTGTATATGTTTTCTATATTAGAACGTTCAAAAATAAACTTTAGCTTGAAATATTTTGCAATCTGGAGCAGACACATCTGCAGAATTACGTGGCAAATCCTTAAAAATCAAGAGACAAATAAAACACAAGTAATGGCATAAGCTGCACCATCTATACAAGGTCACAAGTTTGTTTTAACAGCACCAGAAATAGATTTCTGACGTATGTGCTGAATAAAATCCCAGGGAAAAAGAAGATATACCAGATTAGATGCTAGGGAATGTCTGTGGAGCTAAAGTGAGAGGAGAGGCAGCAGGTAAATAAGAGCAAGGAGCCATCTCTGAAATGTGACTGCACTCTTCAATGCAACTCCAATGACGTAGGAGCCGTCGTGGCCTTGCTAGACTGCTGAATTTTTAATGGTGTGAGAAGCGTGCTGCCTCTATTCAGAGCCTCTGTGTGAGTTGTGAATTCTGATGCCAGTGAATGAAACGTGTGGGAGAGACTCATTCAGCTTTTCTGTATCCCCCGCCCCGAATACCAATGTGCACTGAATACATATTTGTGACACCCAGAAGAAGATACAGATAGGGGGGGTCTGCACTGATTCACTGCAGCCTTGTACACAAACCTCTCATAGCCAACAAGCAGATTTATTTACTGACCCCTGAATTATATTATTCATTTATTAGTAGTCTAGACAAACATGAACAATAAACTAAAGTGGTAAATAAAGTGAAGGAATTCATATTAAAGAAAGTGAAAGAAATCACACAACAATCTTTCCATTTTGCAAAGGCTCATAGCCAATATTGTAACTTTAAATACATATATATATATAATGTTCAGTGGACTTTCATACTATTATATTTGTGAGGGTTAGGGTTAGAGTTAGAAAAAAAAAAAAAAAAAGTCTCTTTCCTGCTAATATCAAGCACTCAAATGTATTTTATGAGATGCAATATTAATTTCATACACACATGCCTTATCCCTGGAAAAACTAACCCTGTGAATACAATCAGCTTTGTTATATATTAAACCAATTACCATATAATTAAACCAATTGCCGTTTTAAAATACAGTCATTTGTGATGATGAATTGACACAATAATGGTTATGACACCTGATTGATTGTTATTGAGTTGTAACACCAACAGGAGCCATGTTATGTAAAAGATGCATGAGTTTTCCCGGAATTTGAGTTTCCAGGAAATCCTAATGCCAGCTCAAAGATGGCCGTGACACAAACAGGTTTGTTCAGATGAGGAATACTTTAATTAGGCCAATGTGTTCAGAACCCAACTGCGGATGGGCAACAGCCTAATGGCACAGGGGGAATAGCGAAATCACTTTCTTATATCCTCATCGAGACATTTGTGAATTTGTCTTATTGGGATATTTTGTATTTAACGTGGAGGATACTGATGTAAAAGTTGCTATTGATTACACAGAGATTCTACAACAGGATTTAGCACCAAATTATCTTAATAAGGGATCTAGTGTGTTTAACCGCTGTGTAAAGTGCATTTATCACTTTTGGTGTAAAGTGGTGTAAAGGAAGTCAGTGTTTGTTACACTACATTACTCAGTTAATTACTATAGACAGGTATAGGCTTACCTTTTAAACTCCGCTTGCTTCGGTAAGGTGTTCATCCCAACTACTCCAGAAGGCATGTTTCTTTCCTCGTACTCCTTCAGTTTAAGTTTCAATTGCTGGATCTTTAGGCCATAGAGAACATTGTGAGTTAGAATTTTATATTTTAACAACAAAATATTACTTTCTTTACCTCTAGCCGTTGTTTCTCACAGATCACTGCATACTGGCCAATGTGACTGTCTAGACTTACAACATTACTCTTGAGCTAATAAAAAAAAACATAATAATAATAACAATAATAAAAACAACAACAACAACAACAATAACATTATTATGATTATTATGAATAATAATAATAATAATAATAATAATAATAATAATAATAATAATGATAATAATAATAATAAAAGTATTAATTATGACACAAAAAAACGAAAATCTAACATTTTGACCAGTTTCAGGATTTTGCTTTATGCACTAACCGTAGACTTGATCTCTTTGGCTCTGTTGGCGTACTTGAGCGTGTTGTGGGTGTCGTCATAGGATTTGGACGAAGGACTGATATTAGCGATCATAACAGTCCGACAGTTACCACCCAAAGAGTCTTTGAGGATCCTTGTCAGCTTACTATCTCGATATGGGATGTGAGCCTTCTTGCTCTGAAACAAGAGAATTTTAAGAGTAGATACGCAAGTAAATATAAGTTTTAGGAACAGGAGTCAAATGCAGTATCATGTTTGTCAGTAACTTTATACTTAAATCCCCAAATCACTTTTTTGCAACAGGCCTATGTAGCAATTAAGTCCAATAGTGCTTTTATAGTTTAGGGTCTGATCATGGTCTGTATGAGACCAGTGTTTGTGGAAAGAAATTATTCCATTAAAATGGAATAAATTCTCCCAGTATATTTGATTTAAGAATTATGTTTCTACAAATTAAATACATTTCAATTACTTTTACACTGCTTCTATTACACTTGAGTGGCAAAGTTTTCAAGTAAAACAACCAAGCCAAGATGCTTACACTTCAGACACTTCCTTCAACTCATCAAAAGTAACACCAATGTGTTGCCAGGCCACCGAAGAGAGATGGTCTCCTCAAAATGTAACCCTTTTATAGGCTAATGTTTGTGTTGACAATCTCATTGAATTTATGCATTCAGTAATGTCGGCTAAAATAGGTGGTGTAGATCTCCGAGAACTATGATAAAATTAATTTCAAGGCTGACATTTCAGTTGAAAACTGGTATAAATGTCTTAGCTCAATAAAATCTGACATGGCCCACAGATACGGACAGCTCGAGTCTCCAGCCTGTCTGCAGCTGGTCCCTGCTCAAACGGTGTCTGTAAAATGGCATTAGATAAACTGCAGGCACTTAGGTGAGTCACACTCTCTGGGGTGTTGGGACAGCACAAAGTCAAAGTTAAAGTAAAATGATCTGTTGGAGCTTTACAGCTGTTACAGTATTTCAGAGCACATCTGGATCCAGAGGTCTCAGTTACAGGTCGTGTTGGGCCCTGAGAACTACAGTCACACCTTTTGCAAATACAGTGAGAGCATGGGCCAGTTTTAATAGAGGTCACATATTCAGTTTATTAAGTTTATTTTTCATACTTCTGTCCATACCAGTTAAAAAATATTTAGGCAATAAAATCTCTCAACCTGAAAATGTACCTTTCTGTTACAAAAACATTTTTACAGTTGCAGCTTTGTGAGAAAAATCTGTTCAATATTTAATCCAATCTTGGCTATATACACAACATTTCTAAGAAATGCCTTTTATGGGTGTAAACAGTGGCTTATCGAAATGAATGGCTGTAATGAAGAGAAAGGACACATTATAAAATCTATCTGCATCATTTTGTACATTGCCAAAGGCGACTTCTAATGAAATCTCTGTGCGGCATACAAAGATGACATAGTGAACCAGCTAAACAGAAGTAGCCGACATTCTTCTCACTCAAACGAATGGTATGTCATCCCGGGACACAAGTGGGGACATTCTTTCCTTTAAACAATGGCCATAACATTAATGTCCCTGTCTTCAGACATTAAACAGTGCAGCTCCAATAACCACAGGGCGTGGACGGATTAGGCCTAAGTCATGGGCGTTAAAGAAGTTCACAAAGATCAAAATCCTCAGACTACAAGTTCAGCACACAAGTATGTAGTGCAAGTGTTTAAGCCTAAGTGATCAGTGTCCATGAAAGAGCGTTGTTTGAACCTAAGAATGGAGCGACCTGTTGACGGAGGATCGCCTTTCAACATGGCAGTGAGACGTTTGCACAGCACTTCCTATGTGCATGTGTCCCGCATCAGCTCTCCTGAGACAGAATGTAAAATGAGAGGACTGCTTGACAGGTTAATGTATGCAACAAGAATGAAATAATACCCAAAAACTCAGTCTTCACTGGGTTGTGTCTCTCTGGAGTGTTCACTAAGGGCATTTTAATCTTTTAACCCAAGTAGTGTGTAATTCACTTTTACAAACTTGTTTTAGATCTGAGTAGTTCTAAGAGACACCCTCTTTGTTAACATCGACACATCTTCATTGTTCAGTCCATACTGCGGTAAGCTACTTTTGGAGCCCCAGCTGCCCTGACATCCACTGACTGAAGCGAGACTGCAAACCTGTGCTACTGGCCCCTTGGATCACCGCCAATCACTCACACACCACATTCATATAGGCAAGGCAGCTGAGATTTCTTGCTCAAGAACGCAATGACCAGTATGCACTGCTCCATGCAAGAATCAATCTGACATCTTCTGGGTTGCCGCTGCCCCACTATGCCACCTGGTATTCAATGGTTTAGTCCTAACCCTGCTAAGCTATCTAGGTCTGAGGAGATCAGCCATGTTAATACCATACATAACCCAATTAAATATCAAATAAGATCAGATCATATTTACATGTACAGTTGGTAAAAACATTTAATCATCTATTTTACAAAGGACATTCAAAACACAATCAGTTGATGTGACTAAAATTAGGTCTACTTTCTTTTGACTTTGAAGTGAAAGTAATGATTTGAGTCAGACCAGTCTCTAGTGACTCAAGCAGAGTCTACATCAACACCACTTTAACAGCCTAAATTTGGTTAAAAGGCCTAAATTACACTATATTCTGATCTAGGTTACAATATTGTTTTCTCATCACAAACATACCTGGAGTTGTGTTTTGTTTCTTTCACATATACAGACCCTGCTTATTTAGGCTGAGTTCTTCCCTCAAACAGGTGATAATACAGGAAGTGCTCCACTGTGGTTTTAAACACCATACACTTTCTCTAGAATCATTTGGATAATTTCAGCCCTAGAATTGCCATTCTCTACTGAACAAAAGGTAAAAGGCTGTTGACTTGAAAAACTACAGCTTCATGGCATCATAAGATGCAACAGAGCATTTTGAGCTTTAGAGTGAATGAAACAAAACACAACTCCAAGTATCTTTATGATGAGGTAACAACATTATAACATGGTTTAAAGCTCACAAGAGTCAATTTTATGTAACATAGGACATTTAAGTGGCAAATGTCAAAATATTAGCCCTGATGACATGGTTACAACTAATGTTATGATTTGAAAAGCTGAAAATTGTTTATGTGTGGAGCAGAACTCACCTTGGGGTCAGCGAGTGCATTGATAACATTTCCAAGAGCGAGAAGTGAGCGATTTATGTTTGCACCTTCCCGTAAACGTGCCCCTTTGGCATTTGTGTGGCTGGCTCTCTCTGACCCAGCCAAGTCAATTAGGCTCATTTTGGCGATGCATGCGTTTGGGTTGAGACTGGCAGTTTTGTCCTGTTGTCTTAAATATATCTGGAAAACAAAGTAATAAATAGTTGACAAACATTATTTTATTTAAATCAAACTGAACATACTTTACAACTACAGTACAACCAGTGATGGGAAGAATACTAAATGTATGTTGTTACAGAATACTGAATACTCAAATTAAAATGTATTTTGTAACATATTCTGACATATAGTATAATTTGAGTGCTGTATTCTGAACACTTAACACAGAGTTGCATTTAAATCATAGTATAAAAACAATGATACATAATTACAAACAGGTAAATTTTTTGTTTTGCTTTAATTTACGTCTAATTAGAGAAAGAAAAATCACATACTACATTACAAGTGCTGTTTGCAGTTTTCTCATGCAGTCCTGAGCCAAAATCGTGTGATCAATTATCACCATGTATTCCTTTTAATTTAGATAAGAAACTGTATTTTGAATGCTACTAAATGAAAAAATGAAAGAGTATCTGTACTGGTACAGTTACTCAAAATCAATATTCAGAATCCATATTTTCAGTACATGTATTTAGTTACTTATCAACACTAACTACAACTCTTTGACATTTCAAATTTTAGGTTTATGTTATGTGCCTCCAAGTGTGCAATTTGCATTACTGTTTTGACACATATTTTATGGCTGATGCCCTTCCTGGCACATGAATCTAGACTTGTTGTAACTGGCAAAAAGTGAACCTTGCGACACCTAGTCTTTTTAGAAGGTGCAGATGATCATCATGAAATAATGCATAATGTTTTGGCTTTGTTTGTATGAAATGAGGTACCTGAAACACAGCGTGGGAGCGGGAGGAGGTGGCGTTCATGTCTGTTGGGTGCTGTGTCCTGTTTCGGTTGCCAGAATCCAGCGCCTCAAGAATGTGCTCTGCAGATTTGGGCTATAACAGAAAACAGGAGCTCAATGACTACGAGTGTGATCCAGAAGCATGTGGGAGGCACAGCAGGTAAACATCAGTAGTTTACACAGCCACTCACACCTCTCTCATAAACTGAATCTCTGCCACAACTGCAGTAATACATGAATAAATTAAAAATGCAACGTAAATATATTCTGAATTTGTGATACAGACTTAAACAGGAGAATTTCTATTGATACTTTGCAGCTGATGTCATCAACATTCCCTGGGGTTGTGATGCTAACTGGAGAGACTGCTCTATCTGAAGCTTTGTTACTCAAGTTAAACTTCAATCTGAGTTTTATTTTAAAACTGTTCAGTTAGTCACTCTCACCTTTTTGTTGGAAAATCAAAGACCTAAACTGGACCATGAACACATCACAGGCTCCTTTGTTTGTTTTAATCTATTTTCTATTTACTAATTTTCAGATAATCGTAATTTTTTTTTGTCCCCCAGTGTGATATCATTACAAAGTCTCAGTTACAGAAAATTACTAACCAAATGCCATGCATAATCTTAATAAAGCATAACAACAGTGAATTTGACAAAAATGTAAATATGAGTACATTTCAACTTAGCACATGGCAAGTGTTGAATGTATATAACAAAAACACAAGCCGACAGTAAAAAAAACATAGTGTGTTTTACCAACCTGATGCAAAGTGAGGTTTTGTACCACCACTCCTTTCTGTCCATCTTCTCGCACTGCAAGAGGGCCATTGTTCGTCAACAAGTCTCTGATCTGCTCGTTGTAAACCTGAAAAAAATAAAAAAATCAGACAGTTAAATACATTTAAATGTAATCATTTATTTCAAATATGCAGATTTTATTTATCACCTCAAGATATGAGAAAGCAACAGCAAACTCTTTCTCCTCCTTGGCCTCGTCCATCCGTTTAAACAGCTCTTTCATTGTGCGATACATAACCCCAGGGTTATTCTGTGATCCTAACATTGTATGCGTCTTCCCAGCACCAGTGGCCCCATAGGCAAACACTGCAGAACAAAAACATACATTTAAAAAATCGTAGGGAAAAAGTACAATATATTTAAAATATGCATGAATCAGTAGAAGGGCTGTCTGATTATGGAAAACTATATTTTAAAAAAAGGCTGTTACAAACATATTCTACAAGTTTAAAGCTCTCAAATGGTCACTTTAATCAAATGAAACACATGCATCCACAAAGATCGCTTTGTCTCGTTGAATTTTTGGCTCTACTAATCACTATTTATCAATGAATTGGATTAATTAACATAGCCCTAATCAGAAGTTTGTTATTTTTACTCTGTAAAGTCATATTGTATAGTTATAATGCTCCAGGGATAGGTGACATCTAGTGACCAACTTTTCAAGTGGAGGATCCACCTTCTACTTCTATACATTGTAGATATTATTACCTTGTCTCGAATGTTTGTCTCACAGTATGGCATTAAACTATTAAACTCAATGGACGTAAGCATGTGACACAACCAAGTCAAATTACAGGTGAGATCTGAGGAGAAGTAACCGACTCACAATAAAAATTCCAAGTTTTCCAAGTCATTAAAACACCTGTAACTGTTGCAAATGCAAGATGGGTAAGCGCAATGCCACACTGTGGAATATTCCAAGCAAAGCAATAACACTGCCATTAATACATGCAGGTGGCAGACCATCTACCAGAAAAGTTACATAGTGCACCTTTAAGTTAAGTAGGACTATTTAGTGCCTTTAGACCTGCCACAGTATCAAACTCTGAAGTGCGATATTGCTGAAACAATAATACTGAAATGAATGTATGCCACTGGTACAAAACCCCAAGAGTAGATTTTTACCACAAAAACTATTCTGAATCTACAATCTGCAATGAGTCATAGAAGTTGTTAATCCAACCTTGTATGGCTTAAACCATATCGCCAAAAAATAACCACAACATTCCAGTAGTGCAAAGAAAATGTTCACACGATAGATATTGTTCCCAAAACTATATTTTTCCAACTTTCATACTCTGAAAAAGTCAATATAGTAGTAATTATCATGACAGATCTAGCTGCCTTGATAAGTTACCTGTGCAGTTAAATCCATTCATTACTCCATCTATAACGGCTTTTGTTGTGTTCTCAAAAATGTCCACTTGAGTAGAGTTTTCCCCGAAGACATGGTCAAAAACAAACTTGAGGTCTTTATTGGGCCTCTTGTTAACGTCTCTGTTCCGCACTCTTTGAGACCCAAAACAAGATACGTCCTGTTGCTTGGGATCAAATATAAGCATGTGGTTATCCACAACTTGGACAACGTTGCGAAAGTTTTCACGCTTCTCGCTATCATTTTCTGGCCTCACACGAACAACCACCTTCACATGGCTGCAAACATTACTGGCCATTGTGACTGGTTGGGTAGAAACCTGGAATAAAGAAAACAATTTACAGTATGAAAATAATTTCATCATCATTAGTATGTAAACTTTGTACATAAATATTTACAGTGTGTGTGAAATGTAATGCACAAATGAAGAAAAAGTTAAACAAAACGTAACAAAACAATGTAGAACAAACTGGCAACAAGAAGAGGCCAGAATAAACCCACTGCACACCAAATATGCTACGTAGGCAAGGAGCAAAACATTGTTTGATCAATGAAAATATTAGATATGTACTCAGTGTTTACATCCTGACATATGATCAACATACACAGCAAACTATACAATCTCGTTTTATCTGGCAACAAAATCGCATAATCAACATTTTATTCTGGTCTAACAATGATGTGTGCCAAACAGTCTATGGTGCCAAAACAATAAAACTTGATTATAATTAGTCTGTCTTCCTTTTTGTACTAACTTGTGATTAATCCGCAAGCGTCGAATGCATGAATGTTATTTGTATAACGAAAGTTCTCTAAAAGATGCACACGAGTGGATTTAACAGAGCCTCCTCCCTCCATTAGCATTACAGGCTAAGTCCTGTTAGCATCCTACGGTACAACGGTTAACGTCGCCTTCCGCCCTGCTTTCGGTTTACGTGCATCTTACCTCGTACTAAAGAGCGTTTGGTTTGCTTTAAATCCAGCTACATGTCATTTCGGCGTTACAATGATTATAATTTACGCTGAAATACCAAGCACCGACAAGCGTCATTGAAACAACAAGCGCCAATATTTTCAAAAACAGCACACTTCCTGAGTGGGAGCGGATTGGACGTGCGCGGTGGCTCATTGGCGAGAGCACGCTGTGACTTCATGGTGACAAACATAGGGGCGCGGCCTGGGTGCTTGTCCTCCACGGTAAGCTTTCTCCACTGTAGTAAAGTCTCCCCGTGTCCGCGTGTCACATGACTACACTTAACTACTTTGTGATATTATGTCCTTTGTAAGTATTTGCACATGTCATGAGGCATGGCATGTGTCCTGATTCTCCTTTAGTATCCTGCCTGCGACCTCGTGGATGATGTCCATGAAGTTAGCTTATGTATTTTGCACGTGCTCTCTGGTATGAATCCTCTAAACCTGACATAATTTGCTTTTATAATTGTATGGAAAAGGCTACGTAGATTGGGTATATAATCAAAACTGTCCAAGGTTCTTTTATGCACCTAATTTGTTCAGGTTGCCGAAGACAGCTAACTTTTGCTAATGAGAATTTCTCTGTAACACATGGGCTAGGGAGATTATTTGGTTCTTGCTTGTATTATCATGTTTATTCCTACAGCATTACGAGTTTGGTGTTAACTATAATCTTAAAAAGTAATGCTGTTTACTATAATTTTCCTTAAATACACTAACTATGATTAATTCACAAGATTAGAACTTTGTGCCATCTTCACGCATCCTCATTTTATTATCCTACCACATAACTTATGAGAATTTTTTACAAACTGTTGCCATAAAACACTTGAATATAATTTAACGTACTCTGATACTTTTTCATTGTCTATCAGGGATATGTGTCTGAATAATCAAATTATTCAGCACTTTTGTTGTCATGATTATCAAAAAAAAAAAAAAAAAAAAAAAGGTGACTGTGATCAATGATTATATCACAATAATTCTTAAAGTTTCTGACAGTTTTAAATGTTATGGATATGAATAATTATAATTTGCATATTATGAATATGTTCCATATTTAAACAGCTGTTGGAGTATTGTATTTTGTTTGAAACAACAATGATATAGAAGAGATAATCATGGATCAGGTAGCCTTTGATGAACATTCTGGTGATACAATGACGACTATCTTTGTCCGCGATTATCATGATTATATACAATTTCCCACAAATTATTATTGTCTACCCTTTTTGTCACAATAAAATATACTGTGTATTGTCCCATCCCTATTCAGTACATTGTTATGTGTTTTATTTTATTTTTTTCAGAGGACAAAATGGTCTTCGGATGCTCCAGAGTTTTGTGCTCCAGCTCATTGTTGAAAATCATGATGTCCATAAGGAGCTGGAGGTGTGAAGTTCCATATTCTACAGTTGATGTGTCACCAGGCCTTGGTCACACTCCTGTCATGCTCAAAGAGGTGCTGCATTATTTAGACCTCCAGCCAGGGCAGGTAAAGTCTTTACAATTTAATAATTTTGATCGACTAATGAAGTTATGTCAGTTGTTATTATCAATACACAAAAAGCTTAATTACAACTTTATTATCCTAGTCCTAGTTTTAGTTTTGAGACCACATCACACCACTAATAGTAGATTGCCTGGGTTGACTGTCAAAGTTACAGTTTGCAAATTATTTAAGTGCTATTTGCATTTATTTCCATTGTTTAGCACCTCTGGACTCAAGTGTACTGCGTGCAGGGGGTGTTTTGACTATGTGGCCTTTTTAAGTATGTCAGAACATTGCAAAATGCTTTTTAACATAGGTGGGTCTAATGTATTTGTTCATGCTTTAGGAGGATTTCGTGTTCAACTGTGAAGAATTAGCAGTTCTAATATAATTCCACAAATGTAATTGTTAAAATTGTAAGACAAATAAAATATGAAATGAATGAAAATAAATCAAAAGTGATATATGTATATAAATATTTTTATAGATGGCTCCAACCAGTGCATACTGTTGTTGTACCCATGGGCAAAAACACCCATCTGCATGCTTGAGTGATTGTGGTCAGAGGGGGTGACCACCAGACTCACTTCTGTTACTCTACCCGGGGCAGCTGGGGCTACAGAAGTACTGTAGCTTGCCAGCACCGGTTGTGAAATTATTTCAAGTGTCCAAAAAGCTCAATATAAATAAAAAACAAGGCATTATTATTATTATACTGTACATTCAGATACCTGCAAGACATGGCTTGTATTTTTACCAGAAAGTCAACAAACTTCATATATGAACTAAACAAATCTAAATTAAGCCTCAGACATATGAACAGGACACGATGATGACTATTGCTCAATGTATACTACCAGGGCAGATGGGAGTGAGTCAAAAGCCGTCTGGTGTGGCAGGCATCATAGCATCTTAGGAGGGAAGTGATAACCCTCCATATAATGCATGGTCAGGGCAGGTGGGGGCCATGGGTCAACAACTTAGTCAGGATTTGCGCCACTGTATGGCAGTTGGCAGGACACAGGGTACTGCGTCGCTCCTGTGTGAACTTTAGCAGCTCTAAACTCCTCCGCTGACCGCCCATTTGCCAACTGTCCCAACACAGCTTGCCAATCACATGCTATTAAAAACACTTTGAAAGATTTGGGCTACAGTTTATGTATTCTACAGCGCTGTAACAGAAATATGTATACAATCCAATCAATGTAAACTTATTGTTGATTTTTAGCTGATGTTTCTACTGTCTCACTTAATTGATCTTAGTCCAAAGTGCTGTCTAATAGGAATGGGAACATGCTCTGTCAGTCTTAGTCAAGCCATCTAATTTTGACACTTCCATGTCACAGAGCTGCCATTTAAGCTGTCATAGTTACAGACGATAAGTGATCGTGTCAGCTGCAGACAGGCGGCAGTGGCGTGAAGGAAAACCAACCTTTGACAGAGGACTACGATTCACCCACTGCACAATGTAGATAAACAGTTTGGATGGCTATTGTTAAATAATCAGCACTATGTAATTGTCCTTGTCAGTTGGAGTAGAGGTAAATGAATAGAGTACTTAATATGATGATAGGTGTCAGAGCAATTGCCATAGTTAAGCTAAAGTGTGTTAATGCAAGCTTTCAGTGGTCCGTAGCCTCCCACACGCAGTGGCCGCCTGCACGTTTTCAGGTATAGTATTCATTTGTGTTTCGTAGAATCACTCACATCAAGGCACTACAATTACATGGTCATTCCTTTGTTATTGCTTTAGATTATATCCTACAGTGTTAAACAGTAAAGTGGCTGGCCTCATAACAACTATTACGACCTTCTACCATGGGCAGTATAATAAATGGCTTTTTAAAATTATTATTATTATTTTATTTAATAATATATAATAATAATAATGAAAATATTATAATTATTTAATAATAATCATTTTAAAGTCCCAAGTTTGGTTCTGTTTGACAGAGGAACAGCATTATAACATAGATCAGAAAATAGTGTAATATAAGCCTTTAAAGAGTTCAAAAGCATTGCAGAGGCTAAACAGTTATATACTAAAATCTACAACAGAGTTGTTTTAACTCCAAAAAGCACACGTAAAAAATGCAAAATTCAGCTAAATGCTTAAATATCTTAGCAGTTTATAACGTTTCAGAAACAGATATGAAATAAAATCATAGGTTTTGTGTTCATTAATTACCACATAGCTGACTGAGCAAATGTTGAAACTTTTAATATGATCTTTTTTTCTCAATGAATGAAAAATTTACTTCTGGAACTGGGGGGTGGACAGTCATTGTTGAGCTCCATACTCTTGCAATTTGCCTCTTGTATACTTTCTGTATGATAAGCCTTTGCCCCACTCCAGTTTTAGTGGTGCTTAAATAAAAATACCACAGTGAAAAGAGGTGAAGCCTGCGGAGTCCTCCTCTGGCGCAGACTGCTTACGTTGGGGACCTCCTCTCTTTCAGATTAATGAGCCATCAGCTGAGAGTCCAGGGGAAAAACCCTGTGCAGCTGTACAGAAACAGGCTGCCTGCTCTTACAATGCAGCTCCAACACACTCCCCCTTGTGGAATTAATGAACGTGAAAGTGTTCAAGCCCACTTTTTTGGATCAATAGCAGAGTCTGTCCCTAGACAAGCTTTTCTTTACACAATTAGGCAAATTATTAGGGGTTAGACACCTCATTAGAATGAGTGCATAACTGCACCCTGGTCATTTTTTTGTCATGTACGTTCTTCACAATTTACTGGTAAAGTTGCTTTATAATCAGATGGAGACAGTGCATTGCGATCTTTTGACCCTAATAGCTGCTTTTATATCTGTATTTGGGCAAAACTTATTTTGCAAGAGACCCTACAATGTTACAGACCTTTGCTTGAAGAAATTTTTCCAAACTTAACCTCAGGGAAATTTTATTTGTCTTCTACATAAAATTATATTAATTTCCATGCATTTCCATGCATTTATTGTCATAATTAGAGAGATTTTTTATTCAGTTGTTTAGCACCTGTTGTGCATTTATTATGTTAATACCAAATGCGAGTTGTCATGTGCCAGAATAATTAGTTTTCATGTCTCATGAGGTTGTGGGTTCAATTCCTGTTCTAGCTGAGTTACATTCCAGCTTTTATTACTTTAAGTTCTCTTGTTTTCTTCAGGCCATACCTACAAGTATTACCCGTGCAACTAAAAGTGAAAGTAAATGAATGTTTGTAATTGTATCTGTCCATCTGTTGGAGCGTTGAAAGCTGTCTGCTTTTTTTATACAAGCAATTTTGCTTTTCAGGGTAAAAGCATCAAATATATTGCAAAATAGCTGATATTGTACATTGCATGTAACGGTTTCATTTCTTTTTTAATATTGTGAGCTACCTGTGATTTCCAGCTGTTGCTAGAAAGTTTATGTGGCACTTGTGTGGAATATATTAAAAAATATATATAAATGCTCATTCAGTGCTATTTTGTATGCCTGAGCGGATACAATTTTAACCTTATTAATGCAGTGTAAGTACATGTAACACATAGTACCTCCAACTCTTTGGTTTGTGATATATTATAACTTTGTCTCTCTGAAGAAGACTTTGCAGACCAAGTAAATCTAAAGCAGGCATGAATCACTGGTGTTGCCTCTCGTTAAGGCCTACTACTGAGAACATGGTTAGGTGCTGCTTTTTTCCCTTCTTGTTTCCCTTGTTATTTCGACTATTGGTTGCCTGTAATGTGGACGTTTGAAGAGCCACTCTCATCTGAGACGAGATGACCATGAAACACTCTTCCAGCTGCTACTTTGTTTTTCATTTTAGGATTTCAGACCCAACTAATAAAAGATGTGTGTGGTTCTTCAGATGTTTACAAATTAACATAACTTGGATTTTTCCTGGATTGAAAGAAATGCATTTTTTGGTGAGATTTACTGGAAGTGTGAAAGCAATCCTTCAGAGTCAGGAAGTAGTAGACTTTTATCTGACCGAACATGTCTCTTATTTGAGTGATAATGGGCCTTCCCTCTTTCATCTTTTTACCAGTACAGGCTGTACTAGCTTGTAAAGGAAGACAATGCCAGGGTTAATATGATCTTGTCTTTTTATATTTGTTTAAAGTTTTACAGCTGGAGTTGGGGTGGGTAAAACTTTGGCATGACCTACCTGTTGCTTCATTCATAAAGTTATTAATATTGAAAGTACATATTAAATGTGGTTAACAGATATAGGTCATAGGTGCTAGTAGGATAGTGATAGTGGCTGTGGTTCCTTGTCCAGTCCCCTCCAAGTGTAGCGCTGTTGTGAATACAGTCAAAGGGGTAACCTGATCTTGTCTCTTCAAATTAGTTAAAAGCCTTGCAGTTGGTCATGCAGCTGATGTCAGGAGCAATGGACGATATGAGATCATATCTTGCATATTGTTGCTATATGGTGTTCTGCACAGTACACTTCAGGGTTAGGGTAAATAAAATGTCAAACTCTTTTGCATAGAAGTAAAACTTACAGGCATATTGCATAGTAACAAACAAAATACTTTACTGTTCTAGATATTTTTGGTAACATTTTTATTATTACAAAATTTCACATTATATATTATGCTCATTCATAATTATTGTTTTTGTTGACCATTTCAAAGCAAAGTCAATGTGGTAAACTATAAGTTTGTTTATGTCTTGACAAGTTATTTCTTCTTTTTTTCTCTTGACACTTTTTTGGGAGCACTGAGTAGTGAAAGAGGAGGCTGGTAAATAATTGATCTTTGTAATTAAACACTCCAGCCAGGGATGCTGAAGCTGATTGACGGCCAGATATTAGGCCCTTGTCTCGTAAGGTTGCAAGTTTAGTCTGAGGTTATCAGTGGCCCCAAGTCTTTCTCCCTCCCTGCCTCATTACTTTCATGAGTAGAGCATTTCATAGCGGGGCAGTGGGAGTGGGGGGTGTGGTGTGAAGACAGTCTGGGACTTCATTAGCCAAATGGGGTGCCTCACAGACCGCCAAGTAGTTTGGCCTTGGCGCAGACAAGGGTGC